AATCCTCTTTGTGCTCCATCTGTGCCTTAGAAAATGTGCAGGTAGTTTATGAAGTTTTATGCATTACAGTAAGGAGTAAGAGGGTTCATGTCTAGCATTCATGGTGAGAAATTCACATTCTCTGCATTGTGTGGGAGAGACTCTCCCTTGAGCTAATTCAGAAAGATCATTTTGTAATCAATTTTTACTTTTTTTTTTTTTTTTTTCTTTTCTGAAAAAGTCAAATAGTGAATCCTGACTAGAATGACATGGTCAAAAATTAAGACCAAAAAGAACCCCAGACAAACCAGTTGTTAGGCATGGCATTGGAGTGAACCTTCAGCATTGAAGCCCATTTTTGCTGAAATGTGATTTTTAACAGCGTTGATTTGACCAATCTTGCTACGTTTTTTTACAATCTGCTCTTGTAACATAGCCAAAAGGTGAGATGAGTAGAACTGATGTGTGGAGGTGCTAATATGGCTATAAAGGTGTCTGAGTTGAGGCAAGAGGAAACCATCTGCTTGGAAGAACTGTTCATATGATGTTTAGCACTGAGGTGAAAATGGAGTCAACGTATCATGGTACAAAGATATGTCTGCTTTGCAACCTGTCCCGAAGACCCTGAAAGAGCTGGTGCTTAAGTTGCATGCTATTTTATGGAAATTAAAAGAAAGGAGGAATGAAAGCAAATGATCTTGCTGCTCCTAGACTGCTATGATTTTTTTTTTTTTTTTTCTTTTTCTGCAAGGACATTGTTGCAGCATCACACTGTGTGGTTTTTATTTCCTAAAGGAAGGAAGGTATCATCCAACAAAAGACTATAAACATCTTAGAGCTTTCCCTTCTGCAGTTGCAGTACCAAGCAAGGTGTGAATTGAGAAGGTTTTGCTATGAAGTTTTAAACTTGTAAACCTGCAGGGCGAGGAACCAAGATTAACTGAAGTTAAACAAAAAGGAAGTTTCTATTTTCGCTTACCCATTTGGGGAAGAATTGGGTCCTCTAACCCCCAAGGAAGTGGGTAAATAAGGACTAATGGTTCCCAACCATACACAAAAGGAACTCCTACCCTTGATTTGAGCATGGAGGCCTGCTTTGTGAAATGGACCAACAAATAAAGCTGTTTCCAATAAAAATTTCCTGTTTCCTCTTTAACACATTTGCCTGCTGTTTGCTTACACGACACCAAGAATAAAGACTTCATTGTACTCCTTTTTTGGATTTTTTTGTTTTGAGTTTTGTTTTGTGTTACTTTCTAAGAGATTTTTTTGTGTATCAGGACATTTAGAAATAATAGCGTGATTTCTTTCTTGCCAGCAGTTCTTTCGTACAAGAACCTCCTGCTGCTGGGGGAGGGCACAGGACGGACATCTGAAAAGCTGCACATACATTTCTTGCCTGGAATGTATATTGAATTGTAGTTTATTGTAAAGGTTTTAACTGGTAAGGATGTTTGATTCAGAAAGGAAGTGGCACTGCAGGGACAGGGTGGGAAGGACAGAGTGAGACCAGTCCCTTGCCCAGAGCAACTTGTATCGACTCAGCTGCCAGGTCTTCATCAGATAGATGCTCATGGTGGAAAAGTACTTTGCCCATCATGGCAGATTAATTTGGGCTGAAGTAGGGCTTCCCTAAAATGGGTTGGAAAGCAGTATGGAGTTCCACTGCAAGCTCCCTCTACTCCCTGTGGCTCTGGGCTGACCCCAGCCAAGCTGTACTCAGCAGTGAGTTCATAGCTCAGGTAATGATCTGTAACCTAAGTCCCCTGGGAGACTGAATGAAGGCTTCTGCGTGCCCTGTCCCTTCTAAAACTTTTTACCAAATAATGGAAAAATCTGAGTTTGGAAGCTCTGTTCTCTCATTTTTTTTTTTTTTCCCCTCGTTATCCCAGCTGCCGCTGATCCAGATGACAAGGACTTGCACATTTTCCCATGTCCACCTGGCTATGAAACTGTGGCAGCTGGCAAACCAAGAGTCCCAGGGCTGATGCTGCTGAGCTGGAAGAAAAGCTGTTATTTGGAAAGTGTGGGAATGAGCTTTCTCTTCTAGTATAGTTTAAATTATTTGGCCAGAACCTAAGGTTTAACTAATGTATTTTATTCTCAGAGGCAGATTCCAGTTAGGCTGTGGTAACGAACTTTTTACTTATACAAGCTTTCAGCTGTGTAAGTTTGTATCTCTTATCCGATGGAGCTTGTTCTGTGTACTCTGCTTTCTGTGCAGCCTATTCAGCACACCCTGGTCTGGATTCCCCCTCCGTCTGTATTTTGATTTGCCTGAATTTCACATACATACTCAGTTTTGTTCATCCTCTGGCTCCTCAGTAACCATCAGGGTTGAGATAGGGAAGTGGGTTCGGAAATGACTTTTCCATTCACCTGATCACAGTGCTTCAATACAGTCTGGGACCAATCCTGGGTTTGGCCAACAGGAGTTGAATGAAAGGAGCTGCTTTTTGAGGTCCTGCCTCTGCTCTGTAGCCCATACCCCTGCCACATCCCCCTCTGACACACGCTTTGTGTGGATGGAGGTGACATGGAGAGACCACTGGCTGCAGGGACTCCCTGGCCCCTTCTTCAAGACAGCTCTCCAAACCCCTCACTTTTCCAAGGACTTGCAATAGGAGCCAGAGGATAGAGCCCTGGCTTTCCCAAAATGTTTGAGATGGAAGTGGGGCAAATATTGCTTTTAAACCGTTGGTGCTGTCCTGTACCCAAGCCTAGGCATTTGCCTAGCCTAATCGATAACAGGTGCACTGGTGTTTTATTATTCTCTGCAATTCTTGTGGCCAACCAGGAATAACTCAGGTGTTTCATTGCCTAGGTAGACTTCTTGGGGAATTGTGAAAGGTATTTTGAAAGCAAATATGGTCTGGAAATCCCAAAGGCACCTGACACCTGGGTGCCCATAAAATCTGACTTCCACATAACTTGCATATATATTTGCAGAAAGGATACACAAAGCTTCTATAGAGAACCTTGAAAAAAGTGATAAATGCATATTCATAATTTTCTAGCTGTAGAAATATTTTAAAGATCATACACCTGGGGTGCTCAGTAAAGGAACTGTGAACAAATATTTAAACACATTTAAGAGCCACTGTAGTAGTAAGGAATCTGACACTTTTTTCAGTTGCAGTACAAGCATCTACCTGCATTTTTAGGTAGATGCTGGTTACTGGAGATAATTTTTCTTTTTTTCAGTTTTAAAGCAAGTAAAAGTCTCATTCAATCCAGACACTTCTGCAGGATGTGACCTATAAGATAGTACATCTTCTTTTAAGTACTCTTAAAAATAATTGCAAATTTTTTTACTTTAGTATTTTCATTGCTTCAGAGATAGTAATACCCTGTCATTTGTTCTTGCTTTAGAAGTAAAAGTTTAAAATATATTTTAGTTTTTTTTTTTTTTCCTTCTTTATTAACTTTCACATGTGTTTCCTTAGGATACTGAAATTAAAATACTATTTAAGCAAAACTTTACAATCACTTGCAATTGGAATTGAAGAATGCTTTTTCTTAATGAGTAGCTAAGTCAATATGTCTGTACGTGCTTGTTCTCATGTGGTCCCATAACCCAAAGGTGAAGCAAACACAAGTTACACAAATGCCTGCTTGTTCTGAGTTCAGCGAGAGTGGGGTTTTAGCTGTTTATTTATCTGGAATGTTGTGCTTTGGCTTACCTTAACCCCTTGGTTTGGGTATGTATCTTAGCAAAGTAGTCTGGCAAAGCACAAATATTTTAACCCTGTTGTAGCAATTTGGAAAGTTAGAGAGGGATTGCCATCATTTTGGAGATGCTAAAAGGTTCCTGCCATTTAATCTTATTTTAATTGTGTAGCTGTATCTCACTGGGAATATTTCATGACGTGCCAGAATCTTGAGATATTTTGCTTATGTTATGTTTGGCTCTTCACTGCCCTATAAGCAGTAACTTATTTGTGGAGCAAAATCCTTAGTGCGTGGTTTCTGCAGCAGGTAGCTATAGTATCCTCTTCAAGTAGGTGGCAAAATTGTCTATGGAGTTGTACATAATGAAGCTTTTCTTTTCTGATCTATCAAGAACAGGGAATATAATCAAAGCCAGATGAACATTTAAGAGATTCTGATTGTTCACTGTCCATTTGATCAGTTCTAAGCAGGGAGCTAAATTCCCAGTAGCACTTTCTTGAATTTTTAGAAGAACAAAATTAACTCAATCCATTTCCTGAACACTTGGAGAATAACCTAAATACCTTTTGTATTTTCCTAGTTTGAGCTAATAAGATAACATATTTATTTCTGCTTGTATTATGTAACAAATGAATTTATGTATAATTTATTCACAGACTAATATGTCCCGTGTTCAGAATGTTCCCTTTCTTTTGATGTCAGGGATATGTATGTGAATAATTTCATTTTGTGGCATGCTGTTTTGGGCAGTGTGAGGGAAAGTAGGCCAAATTTCCTGTAACATACCAAGTAACTTATAAATGCCTTGAAGACCTCCAGTAAAACTAGGTTCTTGTTGGATAGTAAATATGCGCTTGATTGAGCTGCAATACAGTGTGTTGGTTGTTCTTGAGCTTGGGTCTGTCAGTACTATCTACAAGATGTTAAAGTGCACAGTATTACAAGCTCTACTGGGAATTTCTGTTAAGACAAAATAGTTGTGCCAAGAGGATTGTAAGATCTGTTGAACAAATGCTGCTCATGTTGATTGTGGTGCTGGTTTCTCTAGTGTTAACAAAACCTCTGCAGAATAATCCATAACTCCTTCAGTTTTCATCTGTGCCTGTTTCTCTAACTATTAAAATGATGAGATGTTGATAAATCACAGGTGAATGCTAGTGACTTCCCAGAATCTAAGATATGTTTGATCATGAGAAGAAAAGCAAACTGGGATAAGCAAACTTGTGTCTCAGTTCAAAGTTGCTGAATACCTTCATGCTTATTTTGTAATGGGAATAGTAGAAGCAATGGAGAAGTTTTTGTTTTGCAGATCACTAATCAGAGGGTGTCTTGTGTATGTCCTTTTCCAGAAATTGAGGCCAAGGAAGCTTGTGACTGGCTGCGGGCTGCCGGGTTCCCACAATACGCTCAGCTTTATGAAGGTAGGCACCTGAGCTTGCAAGTTGAGTTTCACACCCGAACAATACGATGTAATATTCACCAATAAATGAGGTTCAGGGGCACAACTGAAGTGCCAGTACATAAGATGACTTTTAGGGATTGGGCTGCTCTGTGCTACCCACCATGTGCATAGATGTACCAAACCCGGAGAGACTCTGAACCACTCAGTTTTGAATTTGTTCCAGGTTTCTGTTTTAGTCTGAGTCTTCCAAATGTTCTCATAACGCAGATGTTAGCACCATGGTACATCCATGTAGCTAGAACACAAATGAACTATATTTTCATGAATGTAGTCATCCACTGCTACAACCCCAGTCTTAGAGAAACACAGAAGCTGTGTCCAGCTCCACCAGCCAGCTCTCCTAATGGAGCATGGGTAGGAAATTCTGCATGTGCATGGATGCATTTGTACGCCTCATGATTCCCAAGTCATGTGTGTTTTTTCAAAACAGTTTGGGTTGGTGTTAGATGCAGGCTTACTATGAAGGGAAAAAGGAACATACAAGCTGTTGTTGTGCAGATGTGCAGCAGCTCCTCAAAGAGACTGCTGCCTCCTGCACTCACTTGTCCTTCTGTGAGATGGATTCACTTTGTGTGTCCGTTTTTACAAAGGTTTTGCTCAATTAAAACTGTTGTCTTCGTTGTCTCTCTCAAACCTACTAGGAACTTGCAGTTTTGGCATACAGTTCTTACACTTTGATGCAATCACATACAGAAGTTTGTTTTAAAGTGCAACATCCTTTTTATATATCTATATTATTGTTCAGAATTTGCCCCCCACACCACTTAAAATTACTTGCTTTGTAGTGAAATTGCTATGCACTCTTATCTGCCTCTTCTTTTTTGTAAAACAAATTCCAGCTGCTGCTTGTAAGAGTGAGCACAGAAAGTCCATTATTTACAATGAATAACTGTTGGAAATTACAGCAAATGCTGAGCTGACCTTCTTGAAAAATGATCTTGTTGAGCTTTGATTTGCAGCTGCATTGGCAATATGAGATGATAATAGCACTTTCAAAAGCAGCACTTAGCAAAACTTTTCTTCGCCTGTTCAGAAATTAAATTTCCTTTAATTATTTCTATTCCTTTTTTTTTTTTTTTTTTCCTTTTCTTTTTTTTGTGCTAATGGAGATGCCAAGGTTTTCTTGGGATGCAGACCTGGGACTGTACTTCCAGTCTTTCTTAAAACTGGGGACAAGACTCTCAGCTGAATATGTGAGCTTGTGGGTTTTATGTTATACTGAGCTGCAAATAGCCTAACCAATTACTTGTGTTCATAAAACTTGTCCTACCCGTGATTACCATTGCGCTACCTAGAGATTCTAAACTTATATAAAGTTTCTAGCATAGGACCATGTCCTGCGTAACATCAAAGGACTCCAGAGGTGAGAGCAAGCATTGAGAGCAAGGCCAGCCATATGCATTGAAAAGACAGCTGTCCTTATATGAAAACAATATACCATTGTCCTTTGCAAGCCCCCTTGGCAACATACAACAACAAAAACAGCGGCAGCATAAATTAAGCATAAAAATGAAAATGGACTAATATGGACTATCAACTTCTTCCAAGTCACCTTGCACTTAAGTTTTCCCATATGTTTTCTTGTAGACTTTCTAAGGTACTAACTTTCTCAGTGGAAAAACTGGTGAAAAATACCAGTTGAATGTGCTCACCCCCTTTACCTGCACCTTGAACTTAAAATAGTGAGAGGAGACCTATGAATCAATTGGGTATAGTACAAGAGTTCTGACAAGTCCCCTGTATGGAGTGGTCCCATGCAGTACGCATTTAAAGTGGAGATTAATCAGTGAGCCTTTGTCAGTAGCTTTGCTAAAACTGCAGTTTTCTGTAGAAAAGATAGAATTCCTTGCATTTTGGAGAATATGTTGTAATTTGTTTACTCCTGAGGCAAAATCAGGGCAAATAGTTCATTTGAGAGATTATCTATTGGTATAAAAACACCAGAATATTATCTAACTTTCCACAAATTAATACCAGTCCCATTCTTTTCATCATTTCAGCTCATTCTGTCCCAGTCTCTGGAAATTAAAATATTTTATAGACAATCACTTGGATCAGGAAAGTTATATGCAACTGCAGAAGTATATTCGTAGTTTGTCCTTGTATTGCTCTGTGCCCTGAATGCCCAGTGGCTTTGGTGGGAGTTTCGGCTGTGCACAGAATGCCAGATCAGGACCTATATGACAGTCAGGAATCTGTGGAAGACAGTAAATAATATATATGTTGCTGCTTCAGAACTGTAGTAAATTCTCAGCTCTCTGCCAACGTTGTTTCCTCCCCCTCGCTCTCCCAGCTGTTTACCTAAATAAACTCCTAAGGAAAGGAGTCAGTATGGGCTCCAGACAGCTTGTCTTGCTTTCATTTCAATCCATATCTCATTAATGTTGTAACAGTGTCAAACTTTTAAATAGCTTGATTAACATCCAAGGATATTCAGTTTTTCATTCTTTTCCAGGGATTTTGGGTTTACTGACCTTTTTTTTAATGTGAGATATCAGGACTTTGATAGAGTTGGTATATTTATTTTAAATAAAGCTAGCCTGAGACAGTTTGTGCTTCTGATATTGGATAGGAAGCTTGCATTTGCCTCTTTCCCTCTCCTGTTTCATCCCGGGTTTGCTCATTTTTCTCCCATTTTGCATATGAGCTTTCAGTTATCAAAGATGCATAACTTCTACATATAAAGGAAGCCTCATTGGCATTTGAGGTGATAGAATGTGTTTACCTGAGAAATGCCAATCACTGTCATCTTGGTAAGCTCAGCTGGAGGCAGCTGGTTGTTCTGAAATAACTCACCACTGAGAATAAGAGTAAGTTTGATTTCATCTGCCTCTATTCCTACAGATCTCCTTTTTCCAATTGACATCGCTCTAGTCAAGCGAGAGCATGACTTTCTGGACAGAGATGCTATTGAGGCCTTATGCAGGTAAGTGAAAAAAAATCACACTGCATTTGGAAACAAAATCCTTCCTGTGTAATAGAAAGTATAACCTGGGACAAACATACCCTCAACTGAATTATGTACCATTAAATAACCATTTGCCTGAGACCTTCTTCTTATCAACTATCAGTATGTGGTCCTCGTTAGAATAATATACTGGGCTAAATAATGTTTGGGCATCTTATTTAAAACAAAGTTGGGAGGAAAGTGGCAGGAGTCTTAGTGACAGGTAGTTCATAGGCATATTTCTTATTATTATTCTTAATTTGCTTTCATTACTAGTTCCAGAATTGGTTAAGCATGTGAAAGCCAGAACTGTGCTGGCTACAGCCATCAGCACATACAACTATAGCATCTGTTGCCACATAGGAACTGTTTTTTGGGACCAGCATTAGCAAAGTGATGCTGCTGCACTCCGTTACTCTCCTTTCTTAACATTGGCGAGCAGTTACATGTACAAACCCTCATGCTGACCTCAGTGCATCACCAAAGTGAATGCTGGTATGGCTGAAAGGGATCATGTGAGCGTATCTAAGAGTTTAGATACTGCAAAGATTGGCCCGCCCTCAATCTCATATTCCTATTACTTATCTTGGTTGTTTATGGGCTCCTTCCACAAACCAGTTCGACTCATTCTGCAAAAAGAGTCTGGATACCCCTTTGCTGGGTTAGTATATTAAATCAGCCCTTGGAAAGGCATAATGAAGTTCAAAGTAGGCACAAAGGATGGGGTAGGACCCCACAGCCAGCTGCAGGGGCAGGAGAAGGGGTGAGTAGAGGAGAAGAGGGAGTAAGACTTGCTGGTGTGTGGCAGCATGTTTTTACAGAACTAAAGCCCTCAGCATTAACAATTTTATCATAAAAGCAACTGCAGTGGCCCTATCTGACACTTACTTGTTGATCAGTTCCCTCCTCTGGTGTGACTCCACAATCTTAAATGGCAAAAAAAATGCCTTAAATTTTGATATGTCCTATTACCCAGAAATAAGTGCAGTTTTCTGCCTCTGTTCTTCAGTATGGCAGCTTTCCAAATTGTCTGTGAAATGAATGCTTTTGGATACTGCATGCATGATGTCTGCAACTCTAAATGTCAGTAATTCTAATGAATTACAAAACCCTTTTAAGAAAGGCTTTAAGTTTATAGTGTTCTCATGCCATCACTGCCATACTTGGAAGGGAAAGAGAGGGGCTGGAATTTGAAGTTCTTCAGAAATATTTACAAGATTTTCAAACTAAGAAAACAGATTTGTTGTCCAGTCATTAGGAGGGAAAAAAACCTTACTGTTGTTAAATTCACACTCAAGATGTGCCCTACTCAAGTGTAGGGCACCTATTCCATCAATATTAAAATGTGATGCATCGGTCTGATTATTTGTGTGCTCTGGAACTTGTGAAGTCATTGAACAGAAAGTGCAGCAACGTGAATAAATGCTAGTTCCCAGAAGCATGGTCGTCCCTTGCCAGGAAAACAAAATACAGTCAAGACAGCATATTTGGACCTAGTGCTTGCCTGCAAGAATACTTTATAACCTGGGATTATTTATTTATATGGGGAAAAAAAAGGTAGCAGATTGTTTCTTACTGGTGAAAGTAAGAATGTGCCCTCCATGTCTCTCTGAGAGATTTGCTGCTAGTGTGATCAAGAAAAACAGTCAGCACTTTTTCTGAACATAGAGGACAGTAAAAAGTTCTGTATCCAAAGAATGGAAGCTTATATTGTAAACCTTCTAATAAAGGTGAGCAAACCAAAATTATATGGGTATATAAATATTTTGTGAAACTAGGAAGTCTTTAGTGAGTCTGCTATTTGTAAAATAACCTCTTTACTTTCATCTTCAAATAGTTTCTGTGAACTATGCATGAGAATCCACTAATCTTACTGTAGCTTGAGACAAAGATTTTAAAAGCTGAACTATATCATTCTGAAGCCTGTGGCTGATATATCAGTTATCTTTTACAAAATAACTTTAAAACTGAAGCTAAAGTTTCTCCAGAAGCATTCAGAACCCACCTCAAAATAAAACTGAAGTAATTCACTTAATTGTCTCAAATGTCTGAATTTGGCCCTTCACCATTTATGTTATACAAAAGCAGTACATTATCACAACATTTTCACCTTTAGAATTTTTTTTTTCACACATCTCCTTGTTTAATTTTGTTAAGCTCATTAAAAAACATGGAGAAGGCACATCGTTTGGAATGCTGCGTTTCTGCCTGAAGCCTGGGTTTATTTTGTCTCATGCCATGGTCAGTGTGTAAACAGTAAAGGGGTTTACTTAGTAAAAGACTTAGAACTGTTTCACAACCATAAGTCTATCACTATTTCTTGACTGAAACTCAGAACACTTTTGGAGTTACTTGAATTTTCAGCACAGAACTAAATGAATACTGTAAGTTGTCTCTGCTGAGAATCTGCATTTCTGTATAACAGCCAGTGTTCTGCCAGCAGTTCTAATTACCTTGTTGTAATTACTGCATGTGAAGAAACTGTTTTTAAAAAGACTGTAGAAACTACAGTGGCAGGGATTTGCTTTTTAAGTTTTAAGCATTTTAAATGATAGTTTACATCTGAACAACATTATCATCTAATAATCTTATTAATGTAAGCAGGAAAACTAATGTAACTTTAGAAACAGCTTTCTAGTAAATGTTTTGCCAAATTCCTTTCTAAATGGAAAAGGTATCAATAGCCACCCCATTAAGGTTTTTCTGGAAAAATTTTAAGTGAAAAGTGGATTGAGACTTGAATTACAGAGACAGCACATGGCACTTGGTAATAGTAGAACATAGATTGTTAAGACATGTCATTTAGTGATCTTATCGTGAAATGTAGAGTTAAAAATATAAGAGCGATGACTCTATTGTAATTTGCTAGGATGCTTCATGTAGTGACTGTGCAAAGCACTACTGGCCTTGTTTTCATAAGACTTCATATAGATTAATGGCTGGGAATTTATCTCCAGAGGATAACTGGCTGCATCATGCCCTGATGAAACCAAGTACTGAAGCATGCTTATCCTAAAGGTTGTTTCTAAGTACAAAATACGTATCAAGCCATGATGGAAATCCTATTTAATCTCCTTATGCATAGCTAGAAAACTGCCACACTATATACGCAAGAGGTTTCTTAAATCTTTTACCATCAGGACTTCTCATCCAATAAATGGGTTGTAATGGATTCGCATGAGCTGCGTTCACTGCTCATATCATTTGGTTTGTAGAGAGCTGGCCTCCTTTGCAGGGTAGGACATGCAGATGAACCCCAGGAGCCAGCGTAGAGGCTGTCCTCTGCAGTGAGACAAGAAAGCCCTTGTATCATCAATTAGATGGAGTTGGAATTTGCCCTATAAGAAGGAATGAAGAATTTAAATCCATCAAGAAAATATTTTTAAAGTTTAAAGCTAGATCATCCAGTTACTCAGATTGAAAATTGTCATTTAAAATATGTAAATCTAATATTCTGCATTGCTACCACTTTTCTTGGCTGCATGGGGTGAGAATTTTCTCCTATTAATGAGAGCAGAATGAATTACCTGGGGTTATAGCCAACGTAGAACTGACTGGTACCTCTATTAACAAAGACTTCACATTATAAATTAAAATATGGGCTTATATATTAGCTGGCTAGCTGTTCACTCTGCAGTTTTTGCTAGTGAATGTCTTGTTCAAGCTGCCTTACTTAAAAGTTCAGGCTAACCTAGTTTGGCCATTTCTGAGAGGAAGACTAGGAAAAATGAATTGTTTGCTCATTTCTGAGAGAAGATCCAGTGCCTCCTGTGTTGGGTGCGGCAGGTTCAGGCTTCCAGGGTAATTGCCACTCAGACTGCTCAATTCAGGGGCTGGGACTGAGCAGCAGGTCCTGTTGCATTGGTCACCTTTGGGAAGAAGGATTTCGCAGAGCTGGGGTGAAGGAGAGTGAGAGCCTGGGTAGGAGTACGTGGAGGGTGAGGCAAAGTGACATCTTGGAGATAGAACACTCCACAGGAGTAAGATACCGTCAGGATGTGAAGATGTATAGAGAAAGGGCTGACTCAAAGGCATTTATCTAAATGATGGGAAAGAATATTATCTTGTCATCCAGACAGTCATCCAGAAAGTGGCTGGGGTAGGAGACACTGCAGAAATTGAGACTGAGATAGACAGATGGTGAAAGCAGCTGTAAGTGCTGGCTGCAGCAATCCTGCCCCATCCCTCCACCTCCCATCTTGTCCTCTCAAAGGTGTCACTGAGATGGGTTTGGGCAGAATAAGATGGAGCTAAAGAATGAGGCAGACCTGCTGACTGTTGATAGGGAAATGATAAGTTGAATTTATACCTGGGAATGGACTTACCAAAGGAGAAGATCCAGAGCCAGAAGAGAAAATTGCAGTTCACTAACAAGCATCGATTTGATGAGAAGATCTGTAGAAAATGAACGTGTACGTACATGCTTAAAAAGTATTTCAAAGTATATATGAAGGTTAATTACAGTTGTATAGGTAACTCTCATCCTAGCAAAACCTAAATTTTGTAACCTTAGCTTTGCAGACACAATAATGTGTTTGGCAGACAGTTTTGCATACTGTACTGTGTTTTCTGTGTCCTACAGCTCAAGGAAGTGGGCACTGCTGAACATGAGCAGAAGTTAAAGCAGCATGTGTGAAGTATATAATGAAAGTTGCAGACCTGAGGCAATCACTGTAGAGCATTTAGGGTTTTAAAAGGGAAACTGGTTTTGTGATGAAATCATGTCAAATGTGTAACAGAGCCTTTATTTGCCCTGCTGCTATTGTATTTAAAGTCGCTTATTGGGGGTTACCTTATCTTGACTTCATACTTATTTTTGTGTGCTGGGAGGTTTTTTTTTTTTTTCTTAAACACCCTCTGTGGAAACAGAGGTCTTTGCCTCTACCCTTTTCCACCTATTTCAGGGTTTTAATCTGAGTAGGAGAAAAGTCTGGCGATGTAATCTTTGTGAAATCAGAGATCGTCTTTACTAGCGGTCAGACAGGCTGGAGCTAGATAAAGCCCGATACAGGGATTCGGTGATAACTTCTCTCTGCATAAGTCAAAGGTTGCAACACTGTGAAATTTGTAAATTATTACACAATATAGAACTGAAACCAATTTAATATTCCCTGGTCTTGAGGTCCAGGAGTTTGAGGTGAGAATGTTTTTATAGCAGAGAGAGGGAGGTGGCTTTCTGCTGCTGTGTGGCCTCTTAAAAACCAAAATAGCAGTTTTGTTGTGTAGTGCCTAGATGAGACATTCACCCTTCACCCACGCCGTAAATACAATTCCTCTGAAATTCATTGGACTTGTGCATGTACCCACCAGCTGCAGCCAGCAGGACTGAGCCTTCTGCCTTTTAAAGTCAGAGCAAAGATGAAAATAGAGAGATCTGGATAACTTTCCTAACCTGCCACTGCCCTACTATTTGACCCATGGCAATTCTTCCTGTTTCTCTTCTTTTCTGCTGTGTTGTGGCTGGGTCTAATTATAGATCAAACTGTTTTTTTTTTTTTCTTTTTTACCTCACAACTGCAGCAAAAGCACCAGTAGGAGCTTTTCCATTTTCTTTGATGGCCTCAGGATCAAGCCCTGTGTAAATACCATCTGCAACCAATCCTGTGCATAAAAGGCGAGAGAAAAGAGAGGAAACTAGTAATTCTTCCTGTGCACACATTTTCTAGATTCAAGTTACAAGTTTCATGAATCTGAAGACACTCATCTGAAGTAACAGGACAAGTCAGCATTTCTTTTTTTTTTTTTTTTTTTTAAAAAAAAGTTTTTTAAAGCTGCCGATACAAGCTTTTCCTTACACTTTGCTCAAATGAATTATGTGAAAATTATACGACTTCCTTCAGAATGAATTAGGCTTTTTAAATCTCAGTTTTGCTCCTGTTGAATCTGGGCTGTGGTCCGGCTGAAGGAAAGGGGCGGCTTTGCACATCTGCCCCCCTCCTGCACACACTACTCTTCACACAGCTTAGGGAACTGACATGGGAGAAATTCAACCCAACAAAGTATTGAAAGATTAGTTTTCAGCTCAGTTAGTTTCCTCATCCAACCCACAGTAAAGCCTCATGAGTGAAAGTATCAACACAAAGGACCAAACCATCACTTCCATGAAGTTGCTGCTTCAGCTTTTCTGCTTTCTGCATCACACCCAGCCTGTTCCTGCCCTTTGCCTTGTCCTAGCACCAGCATTTCTCTAACCATGCTTTACCAGTGCAGATTTTAGCTGAGCTGTGTCCCTGGAGCAATTTCTGGGGAGGCAAGAGCTGGTAGAAGGGCAGGAGACTACAGCAGCCCGTGCTTAAACTGTGCCTAAACTGCCATGGAGCTGTGTGTTTAAAAGTGACAAGTTTTGCTCTGCTTTAAGCTATTTGTGCTTAGCCCTGCACACTGTGCTTCTGGGGGAGAGGTGAGAAGAAAGATAATTTTTTTTCGTTTTAGGGGTACCTACCAGATCATTAACTTACCAAGGAATAAAGGGATGCTTACATGCATTCATACAGTACTTCAAAATATGCATCCAGATTACTATCACATTTCACCAGAAGGCTGGTTAATTATTGTTGCTGCAGCATTTTATTTTTATTTAAATTTTGGTCCATTGGAACAACATTTTTATGTATAAAAGAAACTTTCAGTTTAGGAAGGAAAAATCAGGTCTTTGTTTTGGTTTGGGTTTTTTTTTTTGTTTTTTTTTAAACTGGGGGGTTGTCTTGCCCCAGGACTTCACTGAAAATAATGATTGTTCACAAACAAAATAGACACCTAATAATTGGAAAATAGTTTTCCTCTAGGGGGTTTTAGCTTATAAAGTAGAATTTTAAAGCAGCATCCTTTTTTATGCAGGCACATGTACACAGTGTCAAATAAGAAGCCTTTTCCATTATTTTCAATCTGTTGAGATTTCTTGTTTCAAGGCTCAGATGTCTGCTATTCAAACAAATGTAATCATTACAATTCATTGGATATAATGCACTTCTCAACTTAGTCTAAGTTTCCGTTCACTCCTCTTTACTTTGATTCAGGTAATTGTGACAAATAGTCATCCATCCCTCCCTCTGAAGTTAGAATACAGCCAAATGTAATGGGTTAATGGTTAAGTATAATTAGGGCTCTAATTGAAACTCTGCTTGTGGCTATTTGTATGCAAAGCAGTTCGGGGCAGCCTTCACAAAAGCTTTTGAACTGGAATAGCCTGTGTCAAAACACTGGAGTGTTGTCTTAATATAGTTTCCTTTGCTTTGCAGGCGCTTAAATACTTTAAACAAATGTGCAGTGATGAAGCTAGAAATTAGTCCCCACAGGAAAAGGGTAAGTTCCTTTAACAACTTCTGTTACAGCATTGTACATTAATAAAACTGGAAAAAACCAAACATCTAGTAGATAGCTTAGCTGCAGTCTAGGATAACACCTGAGTAGAACCTGGCGAGAACTCACAGTCAAAACTCTGCTTACTTTTCATTTTGTGTTCTCACTGAGTGAAAACTGCAGGGCTTGGCCACTGGTAGAGGTTATTTGTTTAGCAAACACTTCCCCAGAATGCTGCTCCCAGTCTAAAAGGCACTGGGCTTCTCTGCCTGCCCGTGAGGCTGTCCGTGCTGCATCGCGTTACCTGCACTGAGGCAGGATTGTCAAGAGTAGGCTTGATGGAGAAGATCCTGACCAGCCACGATGAGTTGACTTGAATGTTAGAGAATCATCTTTGGAGTCATCTTCACAGTTTTGGTTCTTTGCCATCATGTTAGAATTGTATTATTTTATTATGATGTAGACAGGATTAGTTAGACTGTGTTAGGCCTGCAAAGGAAAGAGCCAATCCTTTGTAGGATTGGGCACATTGTTTCCTTGCTTTTTAATTACATAGCTCAAAATTAAAGCAATATATTTACATCAGCTACCTTTTTAGAAAGTTTGCACATTTCCAGAGAGCTCAGCAGGAGCTAAAAATGTTTCCTGAATCTTCAGGATCCCTGTGGAGCATGGTGAGAAATAAGAGAGCACCTACTGTAATGTCAGTAAGATAGTACCAACAGAAAGCTGAGTTGATGGGGTTTGCTAGTGAGGTACCATTCACTAGCTGTCTTAAAACTATGTGTGTGTCCTTGGAGGGATCAGTAGTTGATACTGTCCCCTGGGATATGACAACTGCAGATAAAAGATGGCTGAGCTAAGGCAATACAATGCTGCCCTACCCTTAACAAGAATGCATACAAATGCTCTGAGGTTGTTTACCAGGAATTAATCCCCTCTTTCCCTATCTGTTTGTGGTATGTTAGAAACAGCATCCAAGCTCCAGAAGATAACACTCTGAGGCGGTATATGTAGGAACTCTTTAAGTGGGGATAGACATCTGGATTGCTGTTTATGACTGCCAGAATTCCCCTTCTTGTTCCTGAACTTTGTTAACACTGGAATGATCAGCATTGCTGTTAGAGGTCAGACCAGACCCGACCGCAGGTCCAAACCCTAGATCTTCCAGAGCCTGGACGTTACCTTTTGTTTCAGCCCTTCCTGATTTTCATTCACCACACATGTCCTGGCAGATGGGCTTGGATACTATTTCCTTTTGTTGTTGACTTCATTAAAATCAATACTTAGCCTTTAAAGCTTTTTAACACTAGGAAAGAATTGTGCTGACAGAAACATATGTTTCCTTATGTTTGAATTGACCGCTCTGCAAATTAAGATCACTTTACTGCTCCTTGTTTTTTTCAGTCAAACCACATTCACCACCAAACCATCATTATTATTCATTGGCATCTTCAGGTGACTTTTTTCCTCCTGAATACTTTAAATAAACAAGCCAGTCCTCTTAGGTTTTTATCCAAGTCATGGACAGAAGTAGTTTGTAGTAGTTGGGAAACAAAGAAAGTGATGCTTACTCTGTATCTCATGTATTTGGTTATAAAAAATAAATATGGTGTTTTACTTATTTTCTTGAGCTGGTGAAATGTACTAGGAAAAAAAAAAAAGAGAGGATCAGGAGTTAAAGTATGCATAATTAAAATACTTTAAATATTAATAATTTACTTGTTTTTCAGAGAATAAATGTTTGTGTTCCTGGCACACAAATAGTTACAGTTTGGGGCATTCATGTGTGTTTGTTTTTAAATTAAAGCAATCTAAACAAATGAAGTGAAACTCCTGGAGCTGGGTGTCAATTAGTGTTTCCTACTCTGAACACCAAAGGTTATTTTGTGGTTTCATGGTGTCGCATTAAAATATCTTCATTGGGTTTATTCTTCCAACATGAAATTTTCCAGATATTTAGAAGACCAAATATGTCAGTCCCAGGATCATTCCCTTTCAGTATTTAGATGAAAAAATTGTAGGCGTAAGTGTTGTACATGTAATTGTGCCCTCAGGCATTACTCGTACATCAAACATCATCAGTGGAGATGTTATTTACAATTTACTTACGTGCTATACTGTCGGTGAGCTCTTGCTGCTCCCTGTCTATGAGTGTTAAAGTTTGCCTGAAGCGAGACTGAAGTAGAAACTTCACAGGACATTCTTCAAATGTTAGCTGCTATTCTGTGGGAGGAAGAGTGGACCAGGTAAGAGCCTGGAGGCATCGCACTCTTGCAGTGCAGGAGCTTCTTTTGCTATCTCGTTAGTCACAGCGAGGAGACCATTCAGACTTCCCAAATGGGTAAGGAATTAAGCCACTACAGTTCAGAACGTATGAGAAACATCTTGTAATTGCAAAGAGGAGTATAAACATACAGCCACTATCAACAGAGTTTAACTTTGGAGAGAGTCCAGAGGGACCCCAACCCCTGACTGACTCCAGTTTAAAATTTTATGCATGCCAGGAATTTCCATTGATCTGAGGGCTATCCACTGTGACCAATTAATTAAAAGTCTATGGATACTAGGGGTTTTAGCAAAGAGCAATTTAAAGCAGACTGTATTGTTTGTTTCTTTTTACAAAGCATATATCTTTTGTATTTAAAAACTGTTAAAATATACTGCCTGACCCATGTTATCTTTTCCTTATGATGGGCTTTATGGCCTAATCTTCCTCTCTCTGAAGTAAAAGACTGTGTTCACTTCAAATTCAGTGAGAACAAGGTCATGCTTAAAGCAGTTTAGTGGGCATTGTATTTAAATGCAATCAGCTTTGCTGTTTGGGCAGTTTGCAAGCAATACTTTCAGAGTGGTTCTTTTTTGCAGAGTGAAGATTCAGATGAAGATGAACCTTGTGCAATAAGTGGCAAATGGACTTTTCAGAGGGACAGCAAGAGGTGGTCGAGGCTTGAAGAGTTTGATGTGTTCCCTCCAAAACCGGACTCTAATACCCCCTCCCCAGAAGCTCCTCACCTTACTAACGCAGCAAGCAGCGAGAGTGTGCTAACAGACCTCAGCGAGCGCCAGGACGTGGCTTCTATTCTGAGCATCAGCAGCACCAGCAGCCACCAACCAACCCTGCAGAGCGAGGCATCTACTACCAGGACAAACTCGGTTGTGAGTGTTTGTTCATCGAGCAATTTCGTAGCAAATGATGACTCATTCAGCAGCCTTCCCTCGCCCAGGGAGTTGAATAGCTTCAGCTTCAACGCAAAAGCCAATGAGAAGAACGCCAAGTCCAAAACAAAGAGCCTGCTCAAGAGAATGGAGAGCCTGAAAATCAAGAGCTCTCACCATGGCAAGAGCAAAGCTCCTTCAAAGCTTGGCCTTATTATTAGTGGGCCCATCCTGCAGGAGGGCATTGATGAAGATAAACTGAAACAACTTAACTGCGTGGAGATTTCTGCCCTCAACGGCAATCACATCAGCCTCCCCATGGTACGAAAGAGGAGCGTCTCCAATTCCACCCAGACCAGCAGCAGCAGTAGTCAGTCTGAGACAAGCAGTGCTGTCAGCACACCCAGTCCCGTCACAAGAACACGCAGCCTCAGTGCGTACAATAAAAGGGTGGGCATGTACCTGGAAGGCTTCGACCCTTTCAACCAGTCAACATTCAATGACGTGATGGAGCAGAACTTCAAGAACCGGGGAAGCTTTGCAGAAGACACCGTGTTTTTTATCCCTGAAGACCATAAGCCTGGCACTTTTCCCAAAGCACTCTCCAATGGCAACTTCTCCCCAACAGAAAGCAACGCTTCTGTGAACTGGAGGACAGGGAGTTTCCACGGACATGGCCATCTCACTCTCCGGAGGGAAAACAGCAGCGACAGCTCCAAAGAGCTGGGCGTGGGGAAAAGGCGCAACTCCTCCAGCTCAGTGAGCAGCCGCCTGAGTATTTATGACAACGTGCCAGGCTCGATCCTGTATTCCAGTACGAGCGACCTGGCCGACCTCGAAAATGAAGACATATTCCCAGAACTAGATGACATCCTTTACCATGTCAAAGGGATGCAGAGGATAGTAAACCAGTGGTCAGAAAAGTTCTCGGACGAAGGGGACTCCGACTCAGCGCTCGACTCCATCTCCCCATGTCCTTCCTCTCCAAAGCAGATCCACCTTGATGTAGATAACGATCGAACAACACCGAGTGACCTTGACAGTACGGGGAATTCGCTGAATGAAACAGAGGAGCCCGCGGGGATGCAGGACAGGAGGGACTCTGGGGTGGGCGCATCGCTGACGCGGTCCAGCAGGTGAGATCATGAATGCTGGGACTTGGGGTGGCCCCAGTGAGGTCCCCTCCAGCCCGAGAGGTCTATAGTAGCTGCACCACACTCAGTTAAGGTGCAATAGAAGTTGTGGCCATTCAAGCACACATTAGCTGTTCCCATTGCTTCCCAAAACAACTGTAGGCAAGGATAGTATTTGTGCAAGACTTTTAGACAAGTGATTCCCCCACTTTGTCACTGTATGTTTGGAGGTTCAGTCTGAGTCATCATTGAAAACAGCACTCTCGGCAAGTCAGCATTAGGAGCAACATGAAGGCAGTTTTGGGGGATGATAATTCTTCAGACTGAAATGATGTGTGGGAGGGAGAGGGACCTGAAGTAGGATTTCTAAGTTGGCTAAGAGAACCAGTGTAAGTACGGCCTGGTTTGTGTCAGTGTGTAGTAAAAACCTTGACTTTTAGACTGTTTCAAAAAATTGCACTTTTCAGTATCAGGCTGTTTCTTAATAGCATGCTAGAGCATTAAATCTGCAGGGAAAATGAGGTTTGTTTACTTTTTCCTGATCACTGTAGCATGGTGGGGGACTGGGGGAGTTCCAGTGGCCTCCCAGTTTCTGCTGGGAGTTCTACCATGGGATGGATGACTGTATTTTATATTGTGAGTAGAGCAGAGTTGAATTCTTTCTAGCCTTGTTTCCAGTTTTCTTTTAAAACTGGTGCAACTCATTTAGGGTCTGGTTTCTGCTGTCATTTAGTCACCTACAGCTGCTTGTATAAATTTAATGGGACTTTTAGAAGTGCTTAGTTCCCATTTGATGTGTCTTAAAAATTTTTGCTATTTTTTCTTGATGGAGTTATTTGATTCCCACTGCCTTAATACTGAAAGGGACTCCGAAAAAGGGTGTTGGAGCCTTCAGAGAATATCTGGTAGGGCAAGACCATGTAGTTAACAGAGTGCACGTTCTCATCTGAAGCGCCTGCATGTGCTGCATCGCACCGGGTGAGGCAGAGATGCTGCTGGCTGATGCCTGTGAAATCTCAGAAGACGGCGGCTGCCAGGGGCGAGGGGCTCAGCAGTATGTTTGTGGTGATTCCTGCACGTGTCTCGCAGAGGTGTTTCAGTGACCAGTCCTTGCTCTGTCCCCTCATCTTCTCTGCAGGCACAGGCTGAGGTGGCACAGCTTCCAGAGCTCCCACCGGCCCAGCCTCAGCTCAGCATCGCTGCAGATCAACTGCCAGTCCGTGGCACAGATGAACCTGCTGCAGAAGTACTCTCTCCTAAAGCTGACTGCTCTCCTGGAGAAGTACACGCCTTCCAACAAGCACGGTTTCAGCTGGTAAGGTCACAGTGCCATGCGTAGACAGGCTGACTATGTGATCATGACAGTTGCATTTATCCTAAGCAACTTTTGGAAGGGTGCAATGAATCCCTCCATCCCTCTTTTTCCATATTTGCACTTCTTCCTCCAGCCTGTGCTGACAGTGATTTGTAGTTTCCTGAGACGGGGCTAAAACCACTAGCCCTTTATGTAAGTGTAATCTTATTAGGCTTGAGAAGTATGCTTACAGGGGGCATGTGAGGGAACAGAAGCAGTGAAATACCCAGTCCAGCTTTCTGACCAGGAAGATGCCCATTATCCATAGCAAAAGAAGGACTAGTTGTTTATTGATGCAGTTAGTGAGCATCGGCACAAATTTTAGTAGATCTTAATAGGCTCACTTTTCTTTAGTTATTTTTAAATGTTTGCATTAGTTTCTCTTTAGGTAATTAAATAATGTACATTTCCTTTAATTCTAGGGTCTCATTAGCCAAAATCCATCTTCCCTCTTTAAAGCACTATAAATCCAGTTAACTTGCAAAATATCTGGGGAGGTGTGGGGAACAGGGAAGAGGGGAAGAAAGGTTGGGAGACCCATGGAGTTTTCTGTAGACAGCAGTTTCTACTGTGGCCAGGTGTTTGTAACCCAGCTGAATGTTTTTTTGTCAGAACAATTAAATAGAAAGCTCTTTTAATATTGTATCTGCAGTACAGCCTGTATAACCTTTAGGATGCAAAAGACGCAATAAAATTTTTCTTCTCCCTACCACAGGCCAGCCTCCTCCCTTCCCCAGGAGTCATAGAGAGTATTTAGCTTCAGCATCAAAGTACCTCCTGTTCAAAGGCTGTTATTATGTCAGCCTCTCTAAATACAGAAGTTGTTTGTTCTGAAAGACAGAAATAAGTATTGACCAGTTATCCCTGCATGCTTCAGATTCTCAGTGGAGATCGCAATGTGTTTTTTCACATTCCGTTGGCATGTTTTTTGACAAAGCAAGTATTATTCGTACATATATCAATAATGCCCTAAACTTAACCATACAGCCATACAAATTGGTTCTGTTTTAGTATGTAACAGATTAGTCAGCTGTAAATCTAATGCACTGTTTGTATAGCTGTACTGTATATTGAAATGTTAAATAGGTCTCCCTGTTTTCCAGTGCTACTGTGTCCTATTAGTTGTTGCACTGGACATTAGCTTTTCTCCCTGTTTAGGACTATGATCTCAATATTTTCACATTTTAATGAGGTTGTTTTGTTTTTTTTCCCTTTATGAAACCAATATTCTTGGGGATCTGGGGGTAAATCATTCTTTTGTCTTTAGTAACTTTTTCCTTGGAGTCATAAGCAGATGGAAAAGCCTCTCATTGAAACTGGAGTGGGAGGTGAGGGTAACAACAGTCACAGGCTGACAAGGAGGGGGGTCCCTCAAAGGGGTTGTTTATAGAGCTGAAGTTTGTAGCTGACAAACTCAAATGTATTACATCAGTTTCCTGCTGTTATGCACACTGGTGGGTGGTGGACCCAGTTTGAGGACTTTGCAGAACAAGTAGTTGACATACAAAAGCTCATTGTTCAAATGCCCATCTTTTCCAAAACCTAAAGAGGCAGTGTTATAAAGGGTCACTGACCACAGGATTTATTTTGTCTCTCTTGCAATTCAATCTGGACCCTGCAGTTTTACCCTGTACTTTTTGTCCTACTAATATTGATGGAGTAGCATCACATTAGTAGTTACAGGTAGCATACTGCCCTGAATGTCAAGTCTCTTGGAGAAACTCTCTTTTCTGCTCTCTCCCCCTTTCCAGCCCCAAGTGGATTATCTGATTTCTACTGTCACTACTTTTCCTATTACTAAGTGTTTCACTTATTTTTACTGACTTTCTGAATTACTGGAAGTAGAGAAGATAAATGGTCAACAGCGATTTAATTTAATTTTGTCATTTCCTTTGCTTAAATAGGGCAGTACCAAAATTTATGAAAAGGATAAAGGTGCCAGATTATAAAGACCGAAACGTGTTTGGAGTACCGCTGCAAGTCAATGTCCAGCGCACAGGGCAGCCTCTCCCACAGAGCATTCAGCAAGCCATGAGGTACCTCCGCAACCACTGCCTGGATCAGGTGGGTTTTGCTCTACTCTCATCCCACACACATGCAGCACCCAAAACCTGGCCTTCCGTTAATTTCTATTGTTCCTGTGTCAGTCTGAAAAAAGTAGACTCAAAACAGGACAAAGTAGATAACTAATGCAAGGAAAGCTTTCCACAAAATTAGAACCCATACATAAGAAGCTAAAGAGCATACTTGTATTTCAGATTTGCTGGGCTCATTGTAAATGTATTTACCTTTCCATATATATTTAGGTTGGACTGTTTAGGAAATCTGGAGTCAAATCAAGAATTCAGGCTTTGCGTCAAATGAATGAGAATTCAACAGACAGTGTCAACTACGAAGGCCAGTCTGCTTACGATGTAGCAGACATGTTAAAGCAATTCTTCCGTGATCTCCCTGAGCCTCTCATGACCAACAAACTCTCTGAGACCTTCTTACAGATATACCAATGTAAGTAGTGAGATTTCCATGGCAGATAGTAAGTGGTAGCAACTTTCCAACGCTGCTGCTCTGGGCACTACATGTGTTGCATATGTTGGTCTTTGCCATTCTCCAGCAGCCTTTATAGTTCAGGCTGCCTCGTAAGGAATGTATTTTTGATGTTCTAGTTTTATAATGATTTATAGCACAAGTTATTTTTATTTTGCCTTCCTCTGTAGTTTGGGAACAAATATAAATCCTCCATCACTTGCTATGAAGTTTCCTCTCTTCTTTGAGCATACTTGATATTATGGCTTGAAAAGAAGCCATATCTGATGTGGCTACGTAGAGGAGCTGTGCAAACACTACATGAGCAGAGTTTAGAGCTTTCACAAGGACTGAAATCCACTAAATTACTGAGATTTTTTTTGTTAGAGCAAGGCCAAAAAATTTCTATTTTCTTACAATTCATATTCTTCTATTCTTCACCACAACTTTTGAAAACAACCTTTAAGTGGAAAGCTTTTCTGTTACTGATTTATAGCTACTGATAGGTACCATAAACAGAAAGTGCTTAGAATAAAGCGCATCAAAAATGGAGTTTATCAATGCATGTGAAAAGAAATAATTAATCTTTCTGAGATGGCAGGTTCAACTCCATCAAGGGAGACATTCTCTTCTGTGAGCTAGATAAATTGAGTTCTGTATAGATGGTAATTTTGTGCTGGATCTTTCCAAACAACACATTGTCTTTCAAAAGTTTTCTTCAACATTGTTTCATTGGAAATACTCTCACTTTATAAAATAGCCAAAGAAGAATTAATGTTTGGTGACTCCAAAGCTTTATTTATTTATTTATTTCATGGAGGTCCAAACTGATTGATGCAGTATGGGCACCTTGCTGATCATGTGGTTTCTCTTCCTATGGCCACCCCAGCTCTCTCCCCATGTATTCTTCCCATGGTAGCACAGCTATAACAGAACTTACTGCAAAAACACATTCTTTGAGCTCTTGCTGTATTTTGTGCCTTCCTTATGATGATGGTTACAGGAACTTCCTTCAGAGCTCCATAGGTGGAGGTGACAGTTTAAATTAAAATCATACATACTGTTATTTCAGTGCACACATTTTTTTTTCTTGTATGTTTGGATTCCCAAGAAGGTTTATGGAGAAAATTAAACAGATTCTCCACTTCCATGCATATTAAACAGCAACTCTTTGTGGGTTGAGTGCCAGAAGAAGTTTGACAGAGCATTGCAGAAGTATCTGTTCCTTTCCTTTCACAGGCGGTAGGTCTGAGGAATCCGCAGAGGTGGTCGGGAAGTATTATCTCTGTGTAAAGCAAAGAGCCTTAAAGCAGCTGTAAATTTTGCTTCCCTACACAGGACAAAATTTCCCTTTGCTTTGGTGTTATGTACCAGGCTGTGCACTGGAATTGTCTGCACGTGGCTTTAATGTGCTTTGAGCTGATTAAGGGGAAAGTATGGAAAACAGGGGATTTTTGCTTAAAATTGCCTTCTAAACTCACCTGCTAACCTTACAAAGTTGCTTAAGCCCAAAGCAAATACCAATTAAATATCTGGTTAGCACCATGTGTATTATGAGACATGCAGCAACGGTGGTGTGTGGTGCTAATGATGATATAAATGCTCCAGGACTCAGACTCTGATGTTGTCTTCAGAGATGGATTATTGAAAATCCCTTTACAAGAAGCAGATCTGGTCTGGGTTATTTCATTTTTTGTTCCCTTCAAGTTTGGAGGAGAAGGCCTTACATAAAGACACACATCAGATTTTTCCAAAGACTGTTTGTTGTTAGTAACCAAGGAGCTGTTTAATGGTATGGGGCTTCACAGCGTTGACTTTATTTTTCCACTGCATGACTTTGAATGATCTGCTCAATAAAGTAACCCTCTGTGTTTGGTAAAGTACTTTCTGGATATTTTATGACATCATTGTTGAAAAGGTTTGCTAGCCAATTTATTTAATTAATTCACCTATTCTAAGATGCATTCATGTTTTGAATTTCTTTGAAAGCCAAAGAAGTTCTAAATTGGTTGGACTGTGTTTGCTTGTTCACTGCCTGACTCCAGGCTTCTGTCATTTTAGTGCATCTGTGGGAGCATGTAGCTGTTGAAATTAGATCTAAAATTAACTCTGGCCTAGGCACAACTTCTTCTTGCTTTCATTTCTTGTGAGGCAGGAAATAGCTGAGGGTAGTTAAACTAGTGGGTTAAAAAAAAATTCCTTCATGTTTCCTATGAATGGTATGCATCCTGAAGGAAATCACTTCAAACTCGAGTCAAATATTTGAAGCTGGAGTTTGCTTTGGGATGTATTCATGCTGTGTGTGTGGAAAATCAATGGGCTGATGAGAGAATTACTAATATTATGCAGATGTGCCAAAGGATCAGCGTCTCCAGGCTATCAAGGCTGCTATTATGCTTTTACCCGATGAGAACAGGGAGGTCCTCCAGATTCTTCTCTATTTCCTGAGTGATGTCACAGCTGCAGTGAAGGAAAACCAGATGACACCAACAAACCTGGCCGTCTGCTTAGCACCTTCCCTCTTCCACTTAAACACTCTCAAAAGAGAGAATTCTTCCCCAAGGTATGTCTCTGGGGATCAGGGCTCATTGCTGCTGGTCTCGTACCACAGCTAGAGGTGATGTGCAACAGGCACGGTCTAGCATTGACCCTACCAGTTGTGATCACCTTAGATGCCTCAGAGGGCACCGGGTGTAGAACGGTTATGGGATCCTACCCTCTGTTAGAGATTTGTTAAAATATAAACAAGTTCATAAGAAGGAAGAAATGGGGGATTCCAAAGAAAGAGCTTAGAGTAGCAAGAGAAGTCGATATCTCCATGCCAAGATTTGGTCCCAAGCAGCGCTGCCCTAAATTACCAGCAGATTTGGGAATCCTACTGTTTTCTTACCAACCGCCTCTCGTGCTCTGCATTAAATGACTGGATTTGTGCGTGTGTGTGCTCTTCTCCCCTGTGAAGGGTGATGCAAAGAAAACCAAGCCTGGGAAAACCTGATCAGAAAGACCTGAATGAAAATCTGGCTGCAACCCAAGGGCTAGCTCATATGATTGCTGAATGCAAGAAGCTCTTTCAGGTAAAACACCTATTTGCAAAACAGATGGGTGGAATATTGGCCAACCTGGCTTAGATTTGCTTGTATAATGGAAAGCTAGGAATGTCTCTTTATTTTAATAAAGTTTAATACATGACAAATAGCTTTTTTAAAAAATATACATCCTGATCTGGGTGCATACATGAATTAGAAGTGGTGCAAGAAGAAAAGAGAGTTGTTTTGTTGGCACTGATGCTCATAAGGCAGTTGTGGGGTTTGTGACATTTTTGTTACATCCAAGCTGCATTTTAAATATGTTTTCAAGCATTTATTCTGCAGCCATTAGGGTCTATGAACTTCAGCTCTGATTACAAAGCAAGAAGCTATTTCCAGGAATTTTAGGGCTTGTTTTATACTTAAATTCCCAAGAGTTAGCAAAATTAGGCCACAAAAGCATCCTGGAACATGACACTGTCAAACCGTAGGTTGAAGGGTCTGTAGGAACTAAAGCATGCTCCCTCTAGGGCCCAGGATAGAGATCCAGACAAGTCTTGAGTCCTGTTTTTCCTCAATGTCATTGAATCTTTTCAGAGCCCTCAACTGAAGACATGCCTGTCTCTTACATTGTGGCTGACAGCCGATCCCTCCTTCCTTCAGTCTGCAGGATAATCTGTGCTGGGGGAATGGATCTGAGCTGTGTAGCAAAGAGGTATACTCCACAGAAAAAAATAAGACACCCATAAATGAGAGACTAATTTGAGTTAATTCAAAATCGCAAACTTAATTTTGGCATTTTTTCACACTGAGTGCTTGACCTGACACACACATGTCCAGCCACTTCCAAAACTAGTGTACCCATATTTCTGTGACTATCAAGCTGCTAGTCTAACTCTGTGATTTTTGGGCGAGAGCTGCAAGAGGATGATTTCACCCTTGTTGCCCCTCAGATACCCGAAGAAATGAGCAGGGGCCGGAACTCGTACACGGAGCAGGACCTGCGTCCCCTCAGCCTGGAGGAGCTCCGGGGCGGCAGCAGCACCGCTGAGCCCTCCGACTACCACTGCTACCTCCAGGACTGCGTAGACGACCTGCTCAAAGAGATGAAGGAGAAGTTTAAAGGCTGGGTCAGCTGCTCCACCTCAGAGCAAGCAGAGCTGGCCTACAAGAAGGTATACACACTGTCACTCACAGCACAGCTCTGGCTTTTAGCTCATCTTCTCTAATGTAAGCAGGCTTTTGACATAGGATATTACAGAAGATTCAGCGCACACCGTTACTTTGCAAATAGATTTAAGAAAAAAAAACCTTAATCTTTTGACATAGTTGCACACTGTCTAAAAACTATATGTCTTTCATCAGCAGTCATCATCTAACATGCACTGATTTGTGTTCTTCTGTTTATCCAGCCCAGGAATGTTTGCTGTATTGCATTTATATGCCTTCACTCACATGTGCAAAGCCTTGACAGGCTGAGTGAAGCCTCCAAGCACTGTCACTATGCGGTCAGTAGGGAAGAAAGAAATTTCTCAGCTCTAATCTTGCACAGAGCAGAGCTAGCACAGGGAGACGTTTTTCAATGAGATTTAAGATACTTGAAAAATAAGCTTGGAAAATTAGAATATTTTTCTGTACCATCATGATTTAACAATGGTTCATACCAGAGAAAGTAACTGCAATTTTAAAATAATTTGGGAGTCAGTGTGCAGATGTCTTTGGCTGTTAGGAAAACAACTTTAGTCTGAGCTCATGACAAGCTTAGTGCAATATATACATATGTGTGTGTGCATTTAATTTGCTGTATTTACTCAAAACTGAAGTAGAAAGGAAAAGAAAGCATAAGGAAGAGTAAAGTTGAGGACTCTGTACTTGTATTCCCCAGGTATGTGAAGGTCCCCCACTCCGGTTATGGAAAACTACCATTGAAATCCCAGCTATGCCAGAGGATGTTTTAAATCGTTTACTTAAAGAGCAGCATCTTTGGGATGAAGATCTTATAGATTCAAAAGTAATCGAACCTTTGGACAGCCAGACAGATATATACCAGTATGTCCAGAACAGCATGGCACCTCACCCAGCCAGGGACTTCGTAGTCTTAAGGTAAGATTTTTATATTCAATTATGTTTATATCCTACGCATAGGGCAACCTTGCCTACAATTTCCATATAATGTAAGTTATATAGGTAAATATCTATTTGTGCATAATTTGAGTCTTATTAGGTGCTTGAATCACTGTTTGTCAAAGATAAGACTTTTTTTCCTTCTTTTTTCTTAGAACATGGAGGACAAACTTCCCCAAAGGAGCTTGTGTGCTTCTAGCAACCTCGGTGGACCATGACCGCGCTCCAGTGGCGGGTGTTAGAGTCAATGTACTTCTGTCTAGGTATCTGATTGAGCCCTGCGGGTCAGGAAAATCGAAACTTACCTACATGTGCAGAATTGATTTAAGGTATGAAATTCCACTTTGTTCTTTTGTGTTGGTAACTTTTCTTGTATAGTTTCTATGTAGTCAGCACAAAATTTAGAGAGTTCAACAGTCTTTATCTTGGCCAGTAGCACCTACTTCTCAAGAGCATGCACATAGGTCTCTGAGATGTCACAGAAAGTTGGCTTCAGTGCCTATCTAACAGCAGGTGTGGTTTGTTGCATTAGAAGCCTCCAGTATGTGCTCCAGCATAGCTATTGATATACAGTCCCACCCCTTCCTCTGACAGATATATTTGGATTCAAGGATGTGTTAATTTTAATACTAAGTTAGTAAAAAGGACGAAGTTCACACAAAACTTTTCATAACTTTTCCTCACTGCAACAGACTTGGTTTTGAGTAAGTCTATGTCTTAGTAAGGCTGAGCTGAGCAATAAGCAGTAATAAGGAGATTTCCTAGTCAGGCATTTAACCAGCTAGGTAGGTATTTGATTCTAAGAAAATGCATGCAAAGTTACTAGTACCTACTTCATCTTTACTTTTCTCCATGCCTCAGGGGCCACATGCCAGACTGGTACACCAAGTCTTTTGGACATTTGTGTGCATCTGAAGTCGCTAAGATACGAGACTCTTTCAGTCATCAGAGTCTTGAGAGCAAGGAAGTAAAATCCAGGTGACTACTGAAGAGAAACAACCACGCGCTTCCACTCCTCAGCAACGTAGACATTACCCAAAACTGAGGCTTGTCCGCTGCAGACCGGACTAGTGTACCATCTGCAAGTCATGTCATGAAGGCATGACAGTATGAGAACTTGAACTGTGAGCATTACTATAGGACTGTGGCCATACCATACACTTTAAAGCTGCTTCCTGTCTGTGTAAGGTCTATAGTGTAGGCCTCGACTGGAATACATAGGATGACTGTGCAAAAACAAACAAAAAAAAAAAAGTATTGCTATTAGATGGTCTGAATTGCTTCTGAGAAGCAAAATTCTTTAAATGCAAAATATATTATGAAATATGGTGAAAGCTCATCATTCCCATGTGAAATACTTAGCTTTATGTACATACCCATGTCATTTTATTTGTAGTGCGTTGAGGGACTGGTGTATCCACTGGAATAGTTGGTACTCTTCAATGTGTTCTCACTGAGATAAGCAGAGAAAGGTTTGCACAGAGATTAAAGTGTGAATGAGTGTGTTAATGGTTGAAAGGATAGCAGAAGTCGAACTTGAAATGTGTCTGGTACACTGATAGGCAACCAGAATGGATTTTAGTATGCTGGATACAGTTCAACCTAGAATGGGACTCCCCTGTGGACCAGGAGTAGCCATGTGCCAGTTCTGCATTTTCCTCAGCTCTAACCTTGTTAAAAACCCTAAGCAGATGTTACAAGAGGCTTGCTCCACTTACTGTCCACTCCTTATGCATATGATCTTTTAGGAGTGATTAGCAATTCTATAGTAATTTTAAGTAAACACACTTTTGAGCAACATAGCAGCTTAGAAATGAAATGTCTATGCAGCGGTGAAGAGAACCAGTAATGTCAACTGTTAATTTGCCAAAAAAAAGTGTTTGTTGCTTTTACTCCTACCTGTGTTAACTAGAAGTGTTTTAATGAGCTTTTATATATTTTACTGTATTCTAATGGCTCAAGAGGAAGAAATCAACACTGGAGTTGCAGTGCCGGGAGGTGGCAGGACTCCTGCAGCAGCAGGTGGGGTGAGGTGGCTAGGAGGACTCACACGAGCTCTCTCCCTTTTCTCTCCCTCTTTTGCCTGTTATCCTGAGCGCTGCACGTTAACACGAACAGAACCTGGATGTGAGCAATTTGGAGGGTTATATTTGGGGGCAGAGAGGAAGGTGGGGTTTTATTGGGTATAAAACCTTTGAGATATTCCCCCCTCCTTCAGAATCAACTTGTATGAACTGTAGGAAGTCTTGAGGTCCTCTGGAAAGGTGTCTTTCTGTAGGTTTTACTGTAAAGGTAAAGATTTGCTTTCAAGGTGCAGTATTAAGTGATAAATGTATTTTGTGGCTAGGGTATGAATGAGTTGCAAGATGGAATTTTGACTGAGACTTTGTTACCATTGTCAGTATTATTTTAAGCTTTTTGATGAAGATTTTTTTATTATGGCAAATAATGTAGTACTTCCAGTAACAATGTTCCTCATGAGTAGGAAAACCTTGTATATTCTTCTACATCACTTTTGAATTTGTAAAATTGTATGTTGTACATACCATTCTATTGTAAACATGTATACTTGCCCACAGTGTACTGTCAAACATAGATAAAGCATGATAAAGATTATTTAAAATATACCTGTATTTATACCTCAGATATTCTTTTTGGGTTTTTGTACCTCAAGTATGTTTTCTATTGTAAATGTGCTTTACATGACTATGATCTACATGAGAGAAAGGAAGATGTTTAACTTGATATAGATGTCTGTACAGAATATACTCAATAAGTGCACTATTAAATGTTTAAAATTGGAGAAGCATAATGGTTTTTATTTTATTCTGCATTGTTCCTTCCACTCTTGTGCCCAGAGGAGGAGGTGTTTTTCTTACCACCAGTTCTTTACATATTACTACCAACTGCATAGCCACCCCTGCCCTCTCCCAGGCCAATATTTTTAGCATTATTAAAGGCAAGTACCAAAGCAATTTAAAAATTTTTGGAAGACAAGCCTTCATGATGGCAGACAGCTGGATAGAAATATTCCCCAGTCAATAGCTTTATACATTTAAAAGTAAGCAGAAACCTCTATTTTGCTGCTGTCTTGTGGAAAGGAACTCCTGAATTTAACAGGGAGAAAAGCAAACTCCTACTTGATAGGCAGCTGTATGCAACGATGAAAAATAATTCACTGCTTTCCTATTTTCTGTGTGGAGAATGAGGACGTGATGAGTTGTGGAGTCATAGGTTCGCTTTAAAAAATGCAAGTGTGAAAGTAATTGGAGAAAGTTAAAGCACACGCAGCGGTAAAATGAAGCCAAAGAGAAGGCCAGGAGGATATACAAACAACTGAGTAAGGTGAAAAACTAAGCCAAAGACAGCTGTTAATTCAAGCAACTTTAACAAGTTTTTAAAGTCTTAGCCAACAGAAATATAATTTAGGCATCTGAAAAAGGACTTTGATTTGTGAGGCCTGTCTGACAGAATAGCTGGAAGGAGGCCTGCTGCCTTTCAGTTAGCAACACCATCGTGTTCTTTCTCCGCCTGACTATCCCGGAGTCCTGATCACTATCACTTCCCACTATGCTCCTCAGGGAGCAGTGAGGGATGCTGCTTCAGTCTGGCAAACCCAAACCTCTTGCTGTTGTGGTACTAGTTCTCACACACCAAAGGGTCTTTTAGAGAACCTTTCTGATAAGGCATTGTCATTTGTTTGGCTCTTAGAGGATCTTTTTTCTTCACAAGTCAATACTAAAAATAAAACTGCACAATTTAAAAAGAAAAAAAAAACAACAGGTTTTGTTCACAATTATTGGGCCCTTGAAACAAGCAGAGCTAATTGATTTTTCTCTATAATGATGGTTTTGTTTGTATTTTTAAGCACACCAATGCATAACAGACTCCTCGAGCGCTCCAAGGATTTACTCTGCATTTTGTTTAAAGTGCATTTAGGTTACTGTCAAATCAGCATTTTCCTAAATACTTCTAAAACGTGACTTACTTTTGACTCATAAATAGCCTTAAGCCCCTGAATGTTTGATTTCTTGCACCTTCATTTGCAGCTGTCCATGTTGTAGTTGGACAATAGAATTCAAGTTTCCATGTCTGTGTTTCTTGTCAGGTGTCACTCACGGTGGCACTGGCTCTTACTTGGACCCTCTCTTGCTTTAAGCAGGAGTTGTCACAGAAGGAGTGCAGGCTGAGCCCCTGTTCAGTTCTGGCAGGGTGCTGGTACGGCACTGGTATGGCTAACGGCGTACGTGGTATCTCTGGCACAGCATGGGTCCAGCCTGCTGTGTGCTTCAGTAATGCTGAATTTCAGTACTGCTTTCTAACAAATTCAAATGGAAAAAGTCACGTTTTACTATCATTCCTCAAGTAATGCACTCCACAATTAGATATTTATGAAGCTGAAAATAATCAGTGGCCTTCATTTTAAAGGCCAGAAGGCAATGTCACTGGCACACACCGGCAGTCTGGGAAAGTGAGGCTGAAACAATGCAAACCAGCACCTCTGCAGTCTGGTACAAGACCTTTAAAAGAGCAGGACCTAGTATATATCCACAGTAGTCTGTACCAGAAGAAAGTTGATATAAAAACAGTATCCGTGACTTGGGCTACATAATAAAAGGTAGATATTTCTAAAACATATGAAAATTAACTGTTATACACACATATTCTACTAAGTGCTGGAAGCAGTGTCCTAAAATCATAAGGCATGAAATCAAGATACTGTTTTAATAGAGCAATGCATTAAAGTTACAGAGACAGAATGCTAATTCCTTTTCCTGTGTTACACCATAACTTGTCAATACAGCCACTGAATGCATCCATTACATAAGGAAGAACTAAACATTTCTGAAAAATTACTTTCAGCTACTTCTCATTTGTCAACACAGAGCTATTTTATTTCTCCAGCAATGAAAGGTATCAATGTCTAAAATGGTGACTGGCATAGCAGGAGGTGAAGGTGAAGTACTGTTCTTATTACTGATGCTAATATACAACATTTGTACCCATGCTTCATTTGCATTAAGCAGTATTCCAGACACTTGAGGCTTGCTCACTTTCCCCTCCCCTCTGCACTATCCTACTATATTTTCCTGTTTTGCCTGAGGTATTCAGAATGCTCACAAGAAACAAACTACCAAACTGAGTCCAAGGACAGTAAAGAGCAGTGAAGGATGGGAAAGAATTCAAAGAAGAAAAAATTCCATCAAAAGAGATTAAGGCACTCAAGGGGTACATTTATACAGAAAGATTCAATACACATAATCTGGCCACTAGACAAGAGGGATGTAGTAAATGTCTACTAGCACTGTAAGGTCATAAAAATACAGAAGAAGAGTTCAAACTAGCTGAGTGGGTGTACAAGTTTGGATAAAAATTCGTTAATGGAAAAATTGAGGCAGAAGGAAAGGAAAAGGCATTTTCCACACAGCAAGAGGTCTTTGGGGCTGTGGGACAATCTCTCCCTGAGAAGCAGCAAGAGTGTAAGTCATTTAAAACTGCACAGGCTCAAACCCTGGAATCATTCCTGCAGTAGCTTCCCAAAAAGCATCATGAAGACCTAAAAAAGGTCCTCTCCATTATTTGACATGATTACAGGACTTAACAGGCCACCAGTTTTCACCTGTACATGTCAGGTAGCACTGCCTTGCTGGGTAAGAAACAATATGGTGTCAAAAATAAAGTTGCAATTAAGTAACTCAATTACTTTGGAAGTTGCTAATGAGCAGGTCTTTAAGAATTACATTGGAGGTTGTGGAGTGCAGTTTGCTTAGGTTTTGTAGCAGTGGACATTCAATTAAATGAGAAGATGCAGTGTCTTCTCACTACGGGCCAAGAGCATGAAGATCAGCATGAGGACGTTACCAGACAACTGGCAGTCTATCGCTTTTCTAACATTTACTCAAAACCCAGAAAGATCTATAACTGATAAGCACAATTTCCCTATCATAGGGGGAATCAAATCCATTATGCCATAGGCTCAATTTTTTGTTGTTACTAGAAGAAGCAGCCCTACAGCAAGTGTGTTGGGTTTGTTTCTCCGGGTACCAGTCTTCTACTGGTCGCTTCATTAGCACAAGTAATAAAATGGTGATGTGGTGGGTATAAACACCACAGTTGCTCCTGAACCATGCAAACATTTCTTAAGGTTTTATACTAAAAATGCAATAGCCCCTTAGGAACGGACTTCTCAGTGAATGAAAAAATTACTATTCCAAAATTCCAATATTCGAAAAGTAGAATGTTGAAAGTGCCAGTGCAGTTATATATGTATTCCAGGGAACGAAATTAAATAGCATTTTCCATATGATGAGATAAGCCTGTTATAAGCATAAAGAAAGGACAGTATAGCCAAGATGGCTGTGGTTTGAGGGAGCTTGTGCCTCATTTATTAGAGAAGTTGGCAGACTGATAGCAAATGAATGGGAATTTCAAGAAAGGATGGCCTCAATTAAATCACTTGAGTGTCATTTTAGACGTGTCATTTTTTTTTAAATAAGCCAGCTAGTAGCAGAAGTAGATAATGTTCCCAGCACAGTCCAGACTAAGATGGTGTACAAGGTGTGCATAATAGAGAACGAGTTCTAAAAGGAAGAAGAGAACCCAGTTGGCCAAACACTTCCGACATATTTAGTGACACAGCAGTCCGAAGTATCTACTCAAAACAAACAGGTCATCTGGTAAGAATTCTCCTTTGTTTCAAAAACAGTTAAAAGAAAATAAATTTTGGTCAAGGCATTGTTGTAAGATGATTAAACAAGTAATCTTCAGCTAAGCTCTAATCTGAGTCTATAAAAACACTGATGGTATGTTTAGCAAAGTTCCTATAGACCACTTTTTTAGCTCTACCACCGGGGAAAGTTGTACAGTAGAGCACCTTTTAAGTAGACCATTTAAACATTTGAAAAGGAATGCAAAGATACCAAAATATGTTTTTTAACTCAATCATTTTGTCTCCAGCAGTCTGTACTCTTTTAATTTCTCTAAACACTTGCCAGCACCACAGCAGCACAACAGAATGCCTGAAGAGCACACATGGGGTTTTTCACTGACCTATAGGAATGCTTTTTTTTGTTGGAACGTAAAGAAGGTTTAGGGAGTTTTTCAATCTTCACCCTTAACATTTCTAAAATGTTCAGTCCTTACTACCACTGCCCACAGGATAAAAATTCTTATTAAAGCCTTTGTCACCTACATCATTTATCAATTAAGACTTCTAAAACATACAACAAGTAATAAAGCATTCAGTAATGATAATATAAATAATAATCCAAACTGATTTTGAATATCCCACCTCAGTGACATGCCTACAAAGAGAGAACTACATTAAAATCAGTACTCAAGTAATAGCAAGAAAATGGTAAAACTGTACTACCCATGAACAACTTCATTCACCAGCAGATAACAATGAAAATTGCTTTGTGATGCAAAGAAAAGCATCTTTGAAAACCTTGCTAGGCCACCTTAAAAAGAAAGGGAAGTCTATTAAGGTAATATGTGTTACATTACCCTCCCGCTACATAGACACTATACTCCATTATCTAAGACTGGGAGAAGCACATAAGGATATTGAAACTACAAAATTCTGGTGCTGCCTCCTGTGAGGAATCCACCTCCTGGTGAGGGGAGAAGCAGACAAAATCAGAGGATGCTTGGTCTTACATGGTGAGAATCAACAGTGATCCTCTTCCCCCAAAGGAAGATCTCTGTGCCACACTCCTCATTGGATCAAATGGTACGCGCAGCATGGAAACACATATTCCTAGTAACACGGGGCAAGTATTTAACTAAAGTGGAAGCAAACCA